AAATGGAATCCAAACAACCCTTTCTCAGACCATAAATAGGAATTCATCAATGTCACAATAATTCCAAATCAATGAGAACACATTTTTTCACTATAACAATGAAAGGATCAAATAAAGGCCCAGTCCCTACTGCAACTTTGCCAAAAGTTGAAGTTAAGATTTTTTTAAATATATATATATATATATTCATATAATCTTCCGTCCCAACCATAATATGCCCTATCGATAAACATTTGTAGTAAAGGTCTGAATAAAACAAGAACTTGAACAGTTTTCTTTAGGTCCTTGTTGAACATAGATCATGAATCCCCAATGCAAACCTGTCTATGTATTAAACAGCTTTGATGGTACTGTATGTCATGGTGAGCATCCTGAACATTTGTGCTCTGAAAACCAAAGTATTTCCAGACATCAGCTTCAGGGTTTCACCGTTTTCATGGATTTCAATGCTCTCGTCCAGACTCCGTCATTGTGAGACTTCACTGCTGCATGGTAAAGTGCTCACTTCTAGCTCTATGCATTGTAGCGGCGATTCTCTTTTCCCTTCTGTGTAGCAGCAGACTGACTTTAAGCACATTACAACCACCTTAAAGGCTGGAGTGAGAGACAGCGTGTCTCTGATTCTCTTTAAATGTAACATGACCAACGTCCAAGTGCCTCTGAGGTTTGGAAATTGCAATAAAAAAAATTGACATTATACTGCAAATGTAATTAACTGTCCAACTTCAATTCCTACCCTCGGAAATGGAAACAAAACGGACGATACGTAGGTACTTCAGCGTGGGCAGATAATCGAACGGCTCAATTAATCAGTACATAGGTCAGATTCACTTTAAATTTCAAGTATCCAACAGGTTCAGGTGAGGGGATATCAATCAGGACTCGATTATGTAATATTATTGGGTATTTCCTTTGATATCAACCAAACGGTTGCATTGATTGGGGGTGATATATAGAAGAACTGCAGCTCTCAGGCTCCGCCATTTTTAAACTGTCTCTAAAAACAATATGAATCATTCTGGCTTATCTAGTAATCAAATTATAATTGCTACAGTAAGGCGAGGTTTGAGTTTAATTTAGCTCATTTTGTTTAAGGGAGTACATCAGCCTGGGTTATAGAGATGCACCGAAGCAATAATGGGAAAAAATATAAAATGAACAGGCAGCAATATTTTAGCAAGGCACTACGGATGAGTAGAAACCTCCTTGAAAACTTCAAAGTAATGAAGTCTCTGCTATTCTCCACTACTTTTTAGTTGCCCATATATTCACTGGTCTTAGTTATTTAACTATAAAGAGCATAGAGGCCCCCCATTAGAAATAAAGAGATGTTTTATGGTGCAGATGTAGGGGCGGGGTAGAGGAAGCCTAAAATCATATTTTGACGTACAGCATTAATACACAATGGTATATGGGGAGGGGGGGGTGATATAATGAGATGTTCAGGTGGTTGTGTGGGTCTGTGGGGGGGTGAAGAACAAAACAAATCTTTCATTTCAAAGCATTACATCTTTTGCAAAGCTACTGTGAAATGGAAATGGTTTTTCAGCTTGATACACTTTTTGTTAAGAAAAAGGATTTCCTCTGGGTTTTGATAGGAAGAGCGAGAAGAAAAAGAAAATAAAAATGGGAAAATTGGCAGTTGGGTTGCTGCCTGCCTCAAAGCATGACACCTTGTTTTTTGCATGACTGAGGGACGACAGCGCACGGCAGATTAGGTTAGAAAAAATGGAAAGGCTCTGTAAAAAAAAAAAAAAAAACTGACAGCCATGCAGAGGTTGGTGAATACTCCCCTACTCTCAGATGTACCCATGTCAGACGATAAGATTGCACTTCCTATCCATACAAAATTGCTATATATTAAAAAAAAAGACACAAAAAATTGATTTTCGTTTTGCAAACATGACCTGAACACATGAGCAGCTCATGAGTTGAGAATGTTCCCCACATCTGGAAGCCTTTAAAAAAAAAAGGCATGGAAGAGCCACAAATGGTCTGAATTCACTACAGTCAGCAGAGAGAGCAAGCAGGAGACGAGCTCTCTGGCTGCAAAGCAATACAAGATCTATTAAGTATGCAAAGGAAAAAAATTACTAACAATAATATGGAAGAAAAATGGAGAAATACAGAGCGGACACCAGATAAACAGCTGTAGAGAAACACACCTTGAGGCGTTCTTAGCTATTAGAATGGAACTGGGTCATTTAGTGGACTCTAAAGCAGGAGCTATCAAACCAATGAATGAAACAAAGCAGAGATGTTCAATGCTAGTGATTCATGAATCATTGGATCAAGGATTTGAAGCAGCCACTCTGACCTGATCAGTGATTGGCCGATCAGATATTACAAAATAAAAGTTAAAATCCAAGTTAATTATATATATATATATATATGTATATATAATTCCCCGTCTGTATACATGCATTGTACTTTGGGGAACTTTTAGTACAAGAAAATTCAGATCAATTGGGTAACAAGTTTAATTTAGATGGAAATAGTTATTCACTATATAAATTTTATACTGCAAAGTTACTAGTTAATAGGTCAAGTAACTATGCAGTTACTTTTTACCACCTAAAATGTTAATTAATTTTGAAAACGTCTCTGTTCTGTGACCTTTGAATGCAACAAGTAGTTTGGTAATCGAATATGAAATGTTTGATATCAATTAATGAATTACTTAATAAAAAGGATGACATATCAGACAACACTATAATAATATACACCATTTTGGGTTGTTTTATGGGACAAGTGAGTTGTGATATATTTATTTAGATAAGTATTACACTGGATGTTTAAAATAAAAGAATAATAAAACAAATTTGAACTTGATAATCATACCTGTTAACAATACAATGGGTTACAATGCTTAAAATGTATGTTTTTAGAAGAATTTAACAAAAATAAAAGCAAATAAAATCAATAAAATCACACTGTTACACAAGAGAAAGTAATAGGAAGAGTTTACTTCAAACAAATCAGTGTAGAAATAACATTATACCATGCGGGTGTTTCAGCAGAACACTGAGAAATAAAGCTGTCGTGTTTTCTCACTGGGTGATGCAGTTAAACCTTTCTATGTTTAACCTTGTTTCCTTCCTTGACAAAACCATTTAGGAAACAACTGATGGCACTACTTCTATACTTTTATCAAACAGATCTTATCTGCTTCTTGGTTGTTTCTCTACTAGATGAAACCAACAAAAGAGCTATTGCTGCCATTAACTTTCGTTTAGGAAAGGAAGTGCTTCTGTGTTTTTGTGCCTTCCTGAACACCAAGTCATCAAATGAGCCCAGCTCTGCATCTAGTTTCTTCCCTTTAAAGGGAGAGCTCTTCACATTATTGCTACATTTATTTCAGTTACTCAATTCACTAAGTGAAATAAGATTAATTATACACCGGCTAATGTATGCAAGCCTCTATATTATTCTATATAATGATAATTCCCTCCATTAGAGCTGATGACAAAGAAACATTTGATATTAGAATATTGTGCAAATAAAAGTATGTTTAATACCAGCTCCTAATTTGAAAGAGAAGCTATATAGGAACACATATGTTTATACATATATATATATTTTAACTAATGCAGATATATATATCTGTACATATAATCAGTTTTTTCATATAAACTAAAATATTTCATCTATTGGAATTGAGTATTATATAGAAACCCATTTTGCTTTGGATTGTGTCAATGGGGTAACGACACAACAATAGGCCCGTAAGCAACATTATCTGGGTGGACCCCATATGAAGTAAAACACCTGATCCCATGTTTATTTTGGGACGTTTTTTCCGTTGTTCCAGCAGCTCTTCTTTGTTTTTTCTTTTCTGCAATCCGCTAAAGTACCTAATTTTGGCATGAATCATCGCTAACACATTGTACGTAATGGTTATGGTTTTAATCTATGCTCTGGATTACCCATAATTCCAAGTTGTAGTGTAAAAAATAAAATACTCAAATACATTGTTCTTTAAAGATTTTTGTTTCGTTTTGAAACATACAGTTATTTACATAGTAATTAAAAGTACAAGTGTGTTTTTTGCTGTTGGTGTCGTGTTTAAACGGCTCACC